AGTACAAGAAATTTACGAATTCGCTGAGATATGTTAGCTCATCAAGAACTCAATAAATAAACATTTTATTTAAAATAATTTTATTATCTTCTTTAATAATATGTTTACGTGACACATTTTATTGCTTAACGTTATATTACCATAGAATTATTTCCTAGTTATTCGGTATACATACATGTATTTGGTATTAAAGTTATTTGATACACAGCCATTTAGTTATTTAGTATATCGTAAGAGTTAAGTGAGTAATATAAGAATAATAGTATTTAATTTTTGGGTCTGAAAGTTTCCATAGTTTTATTATTTAGAAAATTAATGGCAAAACTGTGAATTTTGATAATTTAAAAAATTGATTTATTAGACATAGAGTTATAGTATATGGAATCAGAAAAAAAAAGAAATAAACAAAATAAGCTAACTCTTGAAAGTTTCAACAGAATTTGTAAAGTATTAGAAGTAGCAGAGAAGCAAAAACGATAAAAACATTGTATACAAAATACAGAAAGAAAGAGAAGAAGCAAAAGATTACAAAAATAAAAACAATAATGTTCAAGGAGAAGTGAAATTGTGAACGCTTTGTTCATCTGACATTTCAGGTCCTTTGCGAGATCGTAAGTGCTTGAGATGTACACATCCAAGCAGGAAAATTTCATGATTTGATGGCATTGTTGCTGACTATTACATCTTGCTGGCACCATAAATTTAATTTTTAAATTAGAAACATCCAAATTTAGGGCTCATCCTCTGAGTTATCGATTTTTGCAGCGTCGTCAACTTTGCATATTATGCAGATTTTATATTGGTCCATTTTATATCCCAGGTTCAAAGTTATCACTTCCTCGATTATTTTGCCCATTAACAAGGTGACCAAAATGGGATGAAGCTATCGCCTTGTTGGATGCCAACTGTTGTGGGGATGTCTTGGGTTAGTTCTCCTCGGGATCTTATTTTATTCCTGTGGTTAGTGTTCAATTCGTGTATTATGTTTATGATGTCAGTTGGTACTCAATCGCTTGGTCATGTTGCTAACGCATGTGTTATTTGAGCTCAACACATGCCTGTTGAACTCAAATAATTTTTCTTTTAGTTATCTCTTCTGATTGGGACAGCATTCTGTTAAATAACTCGGTCAGCTTTTCTATTAGTTGTGTTCCTCCATATCTAAGCAATTCATTAGGTATGTTGCTAGTACCGAGAGATTTCCCATTTTTCAATTTTTCAACATTTTTTTTTTGATTTCTTTTTCAGGATAATAGTTGTTGTGCTTACAGGTTTACCAACGTGTGTTGCCTCTTCGGTAGAGTATAGTCGTTTATTATACATATTTTTCCCAATCTTCCTTTGACACTACTTTTTTATGTACATACATACTTGTTGAGTGAAGTCTATTGCTAGTTCTCCGTTTTGATTGAGTATTGTTTCGTTGTATTATTGATTTATTCCCTGAACAGTATCATTACCAACTCGGGAATTATAATCTCCCAGTACTATTACCTTATCTACAATCCTACAAAAAGCCGTTGAATTACCATTAGAGCAATCTGTAAATGTGAAACTGTTGATTTCCGAACATCTATTTTTTACAAATTACGAGCTTAATATTGCCTTAAGGCTCTGTGATTACTGTAGAGTTCATAATTTAGCCGTTCCAATAGTAATACTACTAGTACAAGGATAATTACCAGTTTAAACTTTGGGTAGATGAATCAACCAACTTTTGCACCGTGATTAAAAACTTCTATTGTACCTTCATAAACACCGTGATTAAAACTTACAGGGTGTTGTAAGTTTTAATAATAAAGTTTTTAATCACGGTTGTAAAGACTACAAATCATCAAAAACCTGATGATGACATGTTCAAGATTTAATATATTTCTTGCTTTGATAGTAAAGATATCAATAAACCTATTTGAATGTCTTATTCCAGATGAACTGATCCATTGTAAGTGAAGTTGTTTCGTGACTTCGTGCCAATTGCTAGCAATTGCATACGTTTTAAGGGTGCTTTGTCTCGTTAACTCATTTACCGCTTTATTGCTAGTCACGGCGGTATGACCTGGAGTCCACAACGACCTTGTCTGTATTTCCAAGTAAATTTAAAGTTCTGTTATAGCCATCAGTCACAACCGAAATCATTTTCACAGCTTGCAACGCCTAAAGCCTAAGCCTTATTGATCCTCTCATATGCTTATCTAATCTTTTTGAAGGCCTTAAGTCGTATGTCAGAGTTGGACAGTCAAATAGAATATGTTGCACTTTTTGGTCGTATGGTGCACAAGCACGACAAATAGGGCTAGCAACATATGTTAACGGTCCTACTAGGGACCCTCAATCTTGCACCATAAACACTAACACAGCTTTCATCGAGGGACATCCTTGAATATACGTCAGCACTGTACTCTATCCCACATGTCCGTGAACTTTTTGTCCTAAATGTTCTCAATATTAGAGACAAACGAAGGAATAATTATTGGCGGTAAGACGAAAAAGGTGTTCTACCGGCGACTCTCCTAACCATCCAAATTACTTCTCCAACACCAAATAATAATCTACAGATTTTTGAATAATCTGTAGATTATTATAAGACTAGAGGTCCCAGTGGTAGTAGCACTGTTTAGTTTAGTTGACGTTACTGTAGATTTGCAGACTACTAATAGGGGTTCTCAATATGATGGGGCTAGTCGGATGAGATATTAAGCTTGTTCGCATAACCTACTCTGACTGGTTTCAAATTCGTACATATCAAATAATGCGACCAACTTTTATAGACATGTGTGTAGATTATTGATATGAACGACTGTAAAACGAATTTGAAACTATTCTACGAAAAAACCTATTTTTTCTTAGATATATTGAACAAATGTTTCATCATCGCTTCCCAAACTCTTTTTAAAATACCGGAGTCGACATCCTCGTCGATGATTAATACCACTGAATATAGTCTTAGTATGGTAAGCAGCGCCAGCTTCACAGTGTATGTAGAACGGTGAAAACCTCAACATATTCCCTGGCTGCGATAGGAGTTGTTTGCATGCGTTGCAAACAACTTGTATATAGTTAAAAGAATCTCTCTTTTCTATTAATGTAAACTGTGTAACTTATAATACCATTTTTCAACTCCGAATATGAACATTAATTGAATTACAACTAGTACAAACTGATTAATCTTCGTTTTTTTGCGGATTTACAGAGGCACTTCTTTTCATACCAATACTCAATTATATTGACTATAACCTGCATCGTGTCAAAATGTACGCTTCCGTACTTACCTTTAACAAGGATCATCCGCCTAACCTTTGTTTTTTAAGTTGATGGTCACCTTGATATATTTTATGAGGCTGTCCAAATTTAAATTTCCCACCTTGGATTCTTTACACTTCAAGTATTCACTGACGTAACTAGTCACCAAGTAGAGAGCTAAGGAAGGTAGACTAGGTAGACAAGGTAGGTAGACTAATCCTGGGTGTATAGACCTTCCGCCAACGACCGCAAGTGCATAAATATATCTTGCTTTATCTACTGCAATATAGATAGCATGTTCCCATCTGGCCCATTTAAACACAGCAAAATTGTTTATTATATCGTTTCTCCTTCGAAGATAAATTAGTTCATGCATGTTAATTAAGTGGTTTATTCTCCACTGTTCTGAACCTAAAAACTGCGCATTCATGAATAGGAAAAGATTTTCTGGGAGGTTTTTAGCAGTTTTTACCGTTCCTCCTTTCCAGTATGCCTATACGTTGTTATGGACGTTTTTAAGTGAAACATCTCATTAGGAGGTAATTTTCTTCTGTCTGCCATACTAGGATTTCTACGTTTAGTGTTTTTAGCTCTGTTGAAAGCTGATATCAGTAAGTTTCAACTATATCATTTTCTCCTTGAAAGCCGATAGACAATTGTTGTTACTTAGACTCAACGGCTTCAACGGGCACGTAGTTTCTATAAAGACTAAGACAAGAATCTTGTTTATATTTTTTGATTTCCTGAATGATATTCATAACAGCCGATGTCATTATATGATTTCAAGTCATGAATCTCAGATTGTTTTCCAATGTCTTTATCAATAAAAGTTTTCCAAATGTGTTGGTTAATAGAATCTTGGCTTCTATAAGCATCACATCTTCCGACTTCAGTCATTCATTAGATACTCTTCGACTGATGATTTAGATATTTTAATGTGGCTTAATGAGATTTTCAGAATTTTTGTGCTCAGCAAGGAATTTGCGTACAATACAGGGCTCTATTTAATCTAAGCAGTATGTAAAACATGACAAAGAAAACGAGAGATGAAAATAGGAGTGTGAGATATGATTATATCCAGCGCAAAAAGAAACACGTTCAAATTCAATGTGACAAAAAGACGCATTTATGATTAAATTGCGTTAACAGTATCAATGGCTCATATTAGGAATCTCGGAAATTACACTAATTTCTGTTCACAATCGTATTATTATTGGCAGGAGAATATATCTGTATATTATTATTATTTATATTGTTGCAATTTTAACCAGTTGCTTCTCCGTTGTTAAGCAATTCTCAGAAAACTTTATGAAACTATTATTATTGCGACATTTTAAAACCACGAACAAGTTCGTTTGAGTTACTTCAAAGTTACTCGATTAGTTCATATCAGCTGCTAGGTAAATGGTATATGTTGACTTTTGTTTTATTCTTTGAACAGTTTCATGGCCATAGTGGTCATTGATGTGAGCCAAGAATTGACGTGACCGTGAAACAAGCATTACAATAAAATGCAGATGATGATATTTAAAGCAACCTTCTTTGGCCATGATTTTTTTTACATGTTAACACCACGAAAAATCGATCTACCAATTAACAGATTTAATTTACTTGAACTTTTCTATACTAATTATAACAAAATTTAAAAAAACAAACGGGAATTGCAGAAAAAAGATAACGAGTTTAATGAAAGATCATTAACCTCATAAAAAAAATTTACGTAATTTATTTTATAATTGTGTTTGTTCTTTTTGTTTTAGATATTTTACCAGAAGCTGTAAAAACCAATTGTTTAAGATGTACAGAAAAACAAAGAGTAGTAACTTTAAGATCGATTCGAAGACTTCGAAAGGAATATCCGGATATTTGGCGTCAACTCGAAGCAAGTTGGGATCCAACCGGAGTTTATATAAAACGATTAGAAGAATCGGTTAACAAACCTATTCCAAACCCAACGTTATTATCATCAACAAATATCGTTGAAAATACGGTTACATTATCTAATCGCTTCGACGATCAAACGGACCATAAAAGAGTTCCAGAAGATATTACCTCAAAAAGAACAATAGTTTCATCATTTTCACCTCCATCGTCACTACAAACATCAAAACCAAGTGTAACATCTCCGAAACCATCGCCAACTACATCCAAATTTATCGAATCAACTTCACCGATTAGTACAACATTGAAATTTTTAATAACAACACTACAACCGAATACGACCCCGAAATATTCAACGACCACTTCAATTTATCGAGTAACAAAGCGGATTATTACAAGACCTTTTAGTTCAATCGGTCCGAATCTTGTCGTTCCCAATCCAAAAGCGTTAATAGACAAGGTCATTTCGACAGCAGGAGCTGTTTTAAATAGTGTTACTAATACTGTTACGAATACAGTAGTTACTGTATTTAAAGGTTAATGAATCATTAATTCTTTTTTATAATGTTTGTTTCGAATAAGAATTAATTTTTTTAGCAGCAACGCACGTTTTCTTGCTTCTTTTAAACGTTTTTTTTCAGATGTTTTTTTTTGTGAATGACTTCCTCGTTTTAGAGTGTATCTATAAATAGTGATTTTAATTTTAAATTAAAACTGATTTGGTTTTAATTTCAACCTTTATTTATAGTTTTATAAAATAGTGATATTTTTTTTTAATTTCTATAAATAAACAACAAATTTTTTTATTTTTTGTTTATTAAATTCAATTCATAATTTTATCCAAAATCGAACACTAACAAATTGTGAAAAATATACGTATAAAGGTGATTCATCATAAAATTGAAAATTGTCTTAAAATTATAAATAAAATATAGGGTTACTTTTAATTCAGGAGTGCACAACAACTTTACCGCATATTCTGGAACAGATCAGTCACTTTCAGAAGGTGTGAAATGTTTTTCAGTTTTAAGTCTTTTCAAATTTATTTCAGGAAGTATTTCAAGATCAATTTTAATTCAAATTTATACGATCAACTGCATTTTGGAAGATATACACATTGTGGCTGATTAATAATTCGTTAGAATATAACGATTCTCCAGATAATCTTGATGATAATCTTGGCCGATAGAAACTAAAAAAGAAAAATAAAAACATATTATCTAATGTGCCAAAATAGCTTTACTTTATTTATAATTAATTCGCCATTACCTTTACTTCAGTTAGTTACAGTGGTTTTATTTTTTAACGCTATTTTTGTATTAATATAAACACAACTCAAAACAGAATTGAACTAGTGAAATCATTATTCTTATTATCACTTCATTATTATTATTCTTAAATACAATTATTCTAAACTTAGGTTACCTTTCTCGAGCACGATAATTCCCACCATCGAGTCTTTTATCAAATTGTAATTGTAACATCCAAATACATAATACCATACAGTACGACTTCGATAATCCGCACTAATTAAAACTGCGGTGATTTGGATAAGTAAATAATTCGGATTGCTGACGCGAGATAACTTTTCTATTGAAAAGCGAAACATTTAATGGAAAACAACCAACAAATAGTATTTACATAAAGATTATTTACAAAAGAAGTGAACAGAAGTAAATCTTATTAATTTTTATATTATTGTATGAAATAACTTGTAATTCTTGTTTGCTTGATCTTTTTCTGGTTCATTATAAAAGTCGTTTCTTTTAATCTTGGAAGTACAAGAACATCATTCGGTGGAATATCTCTGCCCACTTTATGCACACATTAAAACTTTGAACTGCTTTTAATATCATTCTTAACAATCTGGTTTGTATTTTGTAATTCTTTACCTTCATTTTCATTCTCGTGGTGTTCATCTATACCATGTATGGCTTCCAGTAGTAATAAATCTTCATCATTTCCAAGCCAATTAACCTCAGTGAGATCATTCATCATATCTGAAACATCTGGTAATAGTGAACGAATAATTTCAGGTTTAACTGTGCGGTAGTTTACCTTGCCGTTCTTCATCCAAGGAAAACAGATTTCGCCGCAATTGACTCAGAAGAATCAGGTCTTTAGGATCATATTCAGTGTCTGGATTGCTATTTACTACGTGAGCCATAATTTTGTGCTAGACTTCGGGGGAGACCTTGTTCCAAACATTGCTTAGTGGACATACAGCATTCTTCAAGTTAATGGTTTTTATTAACTTAACAACGCCTTCTCCGTTATTTTAGATAAAATATGGGCTAAAAGACGTTTCCGATAAAATAATTGTATCATTCCAACGGCATTTTGAAATAATGTTGTAAATTGTCCATGCTCACTAGTCAGCTCTTCTATAGTTCCATGGCTTGAAGCGTTATCAACGATTAGCAGAGCTCTTTCAAGCAAATTAAGATTTCTTAATTGACTTTTAATTTCACGAATAAACGAGCCATGAAACCAGTCTAAGAAAATTGCTTCAGTCATCCATGCATTTTTACCATCAGGATTGCAATATGCTAGAAAGGTAACGCGGTCTTTGCTTATTCTTCGACCTGATGCGGTCTTCTCCTAATAACGAACCAACGTTTTTTTCAGGCAGCATTTTCCAATACAAAACAGATTCATCTGCATTGTAGAAGATAGCTCTAAAATTATTATATCCATATGTTTCAGTATAAAATAATTTTGCGTTGGCAGATAAAATCTCTTTGAAAATTGGAATGTGTCTTGATCGTTGCGTACAAAACCATGTATACAAATGAGTTTCAATTTTTGGATATTCGGCGGCTTGAAAGGTTTTTTTGGTGCCAGGACCGGAATCAGATTTGGCAATAAATCTAAAAGAAGTTCCACAGAAAATGTCCAAAATCATCTTTAATATAAATTAAACATATTTTTTCAGTTTCTAGAATCGTTGATGTTATTCATTTGCCAACACTTTTTTACTCTCACCACGAAATAGTCTTTCTAATATATCGGACTTTTGTTTTATTGTTAGTGTAATATGTTTTCTTCTAGAAAGCATTGTAATTGTTGAAGAGATAGTAGCGTAAGCGTAATGAGAATAGCCTTGGTAGTCAAAGCAGTACTTGATTTGAGGCGAGCATTATCATAAACAAAGTGGGTTGCTTATCATGTAAGTTGTTTTGATATTAATTTTATTACGATTTTTTTATTAAAACATTTATTGTACCATATTACTCTAATGTAACTTTGGGTGTATAAACTTATTTTTATTTATTTATTTTCATATAAAATTTAGGAACGTCAAATTTTTAAATTAGGTCGTCGGAACGCTTTTTTGTGTAAATGCCTTCATTAATATTTTCATCAATGGAAATGTTTCATCCCTAATGAAATCGTACAGTACTTTTTCTTCTGTTCCTGGCAAGTTAGTAGGACTTGAACATTCGACAATAAATTCTAAATTTACATTTACTGCTGGTTGGTTTTGTTATATTTGTTCGTTTTTCGTCGATCGCTCACTCAACTTCAAACTTGTCTTCAAATAACTTTTTTTCAGTCCGCCATAGCTTCATACCTCTATGATATAATTTAACATAACGGTTGAGATAAAATATTTGTTCATAACTGAAGATCTTTCAAAGAACATTCGGTTGCCAAATACCGTAGAGTAGTTACCAACATTTTCCCGACAGAATGTATTAAATGTGCAGAAAATGATTCAAGTGCTGCTTGCACAAAGCCAAAAGAACAAGCATCAAAATGTGCATATTGTGCTGGAGCTCATCCACCAAGTCATAATGACTGCGATTTGCCAATTTGTTGCAAAATAGAAAATAGCAACAAAAAAGCAAAACAAATTCTTGCGCCTAAATGGCTTACTTCAAGAGAAACAGCTCAACGAAGGTCATTTGATCACCTCTGCTGGTGCAGTACAAGGAGGTAAATATGAGCAAACAACCCAATGACAAGAAATCAAAGCAAACGAGGAGAAAACAATTCAAAAAATGATATTACAAATGATGGATCAATTTAATGAAAGATTAAAAAACCAAACACCGACGATATTGGTCCAACGATAGGACCAAGATCATAGATATGCTAGACTTCTTCACCTCAAGGAAAATTGTAACCAATTTTACGGAAACTAAACAAATGTTTGACTTGGATTAAGACCACTTTGCTGTTGTCTTAACTTTAAGTGAAACAATAATTAAAAAAGAAGATAAACCAACTCTGATAAATAAAACTACGGACTGGGAAAGTTTTAGAATTGAATTACAAAATAATATCAGAGGAATAAAGTATATTATGAAAGGAAACAATTACCCATCAGAAATATATGACCATATCAAAGATCGGGAAGAAAGCATTAGCAAATTGTGGACCCGAAAGACAAAGCTATAGTAAATAATAAAACGCAAAGAGTAAAACTCGAAATTCACAAATTGAAGGAGGATCCTATGAAACAGTTTTTAATCAATCTAACAAATGAAAAGAAGAGCGTTTATTCGTTGTGGAAAACTACTAAACGAATTAAAAGGCTAATTACGTCAATTCTTCTCATTAGAAAAAAGTTAGGCGAATGGGCAATAGAAAACAAACAGAAAGTTGTAACAAATTTTTGTCTGTCAAATATTCTTTGCAAAATATTTGGCAAACGTTCTTACACCGAATCTAATTCAAGGTAATAAACTTAAAGATGTATATAATTTAAATTCAATAAATATTACTACAGTTATCCCAAAAGAAGTAGCTGACGAGATAAAACATAATGTAAATATCAAAAAAAGTAACGAACTACCATTATTAACTAACTAGATATAAATATATGCCGGCAAGCTGAAGGGTTGCAGAAATCATGCTATCTAAGCCAGATAAATCGCTGTATGACGTCAAATCATATAGATCTATATTACTCCTGCCAAAAATATCCAAACTGTCTGAAAAGCTGGTGTTACAACGAATTAAACCAATCATTTAATAAACTACTTGAACCACCACTTTGGTTTCAGACAGAAACATTCAATAATCGACGAAGTACATCGTATGTCACTGTTCCTAAATATGTCACAAGCATTTGATAAACTCTCACACGAAGGTCTGATTTATAAGTTGAACAAGATCTAGCCCAAACAATATGTGGAATACTTAACGTCGTATGTAACCAACAGACTCTTTAGGATTAAACAAGAGGACGAATATTCAGACTTAAAGGTAGGGCAAGTAGGGGAACCCGATCTTTGGCTGCCATAAAAACAACAAGCTGATTTTTCATATTCTGCCATGTTCGTTTTTTCAGGCACTGTCTACCAGAATAATAATTCTGTTTCGTCAATATTCAAATTTTTGATCCCCCAACCCAACTCAACCGCCCAGTTATGAGTTTTGCTAATTTATCCGGAAAGCTTTTAGCAGTATTTTCGTCTGCTGATGTTAGATTTCCTTTTCCTTTTATTTTTACATTGTGAAATTATATGGTTTCTAATTATTCTTAAAATCGATTTGCTTAAACCAAAAACTTTGCCTAAGATTTTTATGTTAGTTTCTAACGAAACTGCTTGTCCTTTCGGAATATTTTATTGTTGTTTAGGAATTTATTAACTCCTGTAGAAACAATGTTAAGTAATATTGCTTATAGATATTCCTTTTTTTAGTAAATAGTAAAAATTAACCTCAACACAAATTATAATAGAAATTTCGCAATCGAATTAAACGAAACTTCTAATTATGTATTACAACCTATAAATTGAACACAAAATAAATCTTGAAGAACTAAACGCTGTGTTTAAGTTGGAGTACAATGAGATAAAGAAAAAAGTGGTCATAATAAATCGACCGACTTCTCATAATGGTATTCTTGTAATTATATTTTGATGCTAAGTTTCTGTCAAAATTAGAATTGAAAAACATTTTTTATGGAATTCCTGGAACAAAAAATTCGTGTGAGTCGTGTTATTTTAAAATCAAGTTGTCAAGAGTTGGGAATAGTTTTAGCCCCACTTACCTCTTCGTAATCGATCGCTGAAACTGTTTACAAACATTTACTTGTCTACTACATTCAGTGTTTAACAATGGAACAGATTAAAACTTATTACGGCTGACAAAAAAAAAAGTTCAATTAATTTGAAATTAAGTTGTGCATACAATATTGCCGAAACTAGTAAGATAATATATTTAAATAAAATTACTAGATAAGGTACAAGAAAGTCTTTAAAAGTATCCGTTCCTTATGTTATAAATTCTTTGGTAAAGTTGATAAGAGAAAATGTTTTCTTAAGAGTGAAATTTCCAAACAAACACTTTTAAACTAATTTAAATAATAAAATTGCTTTATTTATGCTAATATCTTATCTTTTATGATTCATATACTTGTAAACAAAATAAAAAACCTTATCTAATTTTTATTTCTCTTTATTAATAAAACAAAAGGTTTACATCTAAATTTTATTATAAATTTTGGTATAAATATTTGTATGAATACAATAATGGATTAATTTTAGTTATTAATGTTTAAGTTAAATTATTTAATAGCTAAGAAAATATAAAGTAAAAAAAAATGAGATATCTTAATTGATTAAGCTTTTTTCTAGCTACTAGTGAGGCATTGAAAATTTAAGAGGTGTTATTGTGGTAGCTGTAGTTGCTGCAGTCGTATCCACGAGATGTCCATAGTCCTCTTTCATTTCAAACCCTGCTATCAACACGTTCACAATCACCAGGAGAATATTCAGAGCCAAAATCGAATTGTTTGCTAAGTTCGCATTATCTTGTTCCTCCGCTTTGTTTATGTTAATTGAACTTCCGACGAAAACGCACACAATGGCTTGAATTATCTAATAATAAACAAATGAAAAGAAAGAAAAAATAAAATAAAGAAATAAAATAATAAAAAGAATAAAATCATAGAAAAATAAAAAGAATAAAAATCATAGAAAAATAAATAAAATTAAAAAAATAAAAAGAAAAATGTAAATATTGAAATAATCCTCTTATACTTTCTTATTTTAATAAAAACATTTTAGTATAAAAAATACTAATTAAAATGTTTAATTTTTATTGTTTGTTAAATTGGTAGCATTAACAGCTACAGCAGGATCCAAACCAAAGTTCATTTTAATAACATCACAAAACAAGGCACTTGTAACGAATCCCAAAGCAACATGATTCATGTATCCAGCGATGAGATTATGTTTATGGTCGTTCCAAACGTTTATTGTGCCAATCATTATTGACAAAACGGCCGCTGTTACCTGCACAAAAATAAACAGCTCACTATTTTTGAATTTTTTAATTGATATGTTAATAAGTTTTTTCTGAATAAATCCGAATAATGTTTAAGCATTATTTTTTTAAATGGACTTGGATTTGTTGGTCCTGTTGATTAATCAATTTAAGGGGATTATTAGAATATTCAATACCAAATCCAGAAATAATAATATTCACTAAAGAGATAATAAAAATAAAAATTAATATGACGTCATTTAAAATTATCGCTGCCTTGTGATCAGATGTTGCGTTGAGGTTTAAACCGCCAATTGTAACGAATAAAATCGCCACCATTAACTATTAAAATAAAAAAAAGTATATTTAATTATATATTTTTTATACTAAAATGTTTTCTTTTTAAAGATCTGGTTGGACTACATCGGGGGCGTTAAAAACAGCATATCGGGCTATTGTCGGATCAAAACAAGAAATAACTAAATTTAAAACGGTGATAACAAAAGCGCAAGCCGTAGTAAAATGGTTTAAAATTACGGCTGAAGTATGAAACTCTTCCAAGTGAAGTCGACAGTCTCTCATTAGTAGTAATGAAAGACACAAAAATCCAACAGTTGCCTATTAAATTTTAACGATAATTAACGTTTTATTATAAATAAACTGTAAGTATATAATGTGGTGTTTCAAGAGTAATATCACAAAATAAACAAAATACAAAATAAATCGTTTATAATAATATAAAATAGTAAAGCACAATTTTCCATTGTTCCAGTTTCCTGAATTTTTTTCCAGTGAAAATTAATATTAAGAGAACAAAACTATTTATAGCATTTAAAAATTGACACTTTGATAAGATATTACCAATTGATATGATTGAATTGACTATGAACAATTGATACAATATATATTCGACAAGTTCAGTGTTAGTGGCATTTCTGAATATTGTAAAAACACATAAAACTCTTTTAAAACTATGTACGTTATAACAATAGAAATATGAATTGTCTTGATGAAGATTATAAGTTTCCGGGTATACTGCAGGTATAATAGCTTTTAGCGCAAAAAAAAACGAGGAACGCCAAGAATATTGTCCGAAGAAACTTCCCGACGTAGTGAACAACGATATATTGAAGAAGTTGTAGCAGCTCATTTCAGAAAAATTATGCTTGACTCAGGAATCAAGGTTGGGAAATCCGGAAAAAGAAAAAAAGCAATCCTATGTTCGCCCAAAACATTAATGAAAATGAAAGAGGTGCATGATACATCAACGTCTGTTAATCAGTACCGTATAGCCTAGAAGAACCTTTAGGTCTTATTGAAGATTTGAGATTGACAACAGAAAATTACAAGAGTAGTATATGCCGTGCTTGTAAATGAATATGGGCTGATATTTATCCTTGATACCATATCATAACATTGGTAAAGAAACAGTATTACTCTGCGACTATTAATGTAAATACTTATACTTACTACACAGCGTCTGGTGCAGGTACAGGCTGATGTAATATTACAGAATAATTCGGAGGACTCCGATATTATCACACGTAGATACATCCATTAATAGAATTTTATTAAAAGAATTTTCGAATTCCAACATAATAGTATGTATGTTTGTGCCACTACAAATTTTTGAATATAAAGGTAATAAAATAAGGATATATTGGAAGGACTTGACGCCACCATCAACAAGGTATTGTCGTAAGAATGGATTCAAAATAAAGAAAGAAAATATTCAAATGTCAAAAAAGAATACAACGAAATACAATCACAAATATTATATTTTCAGCCAACTATAGTCGATCAATGTACTAAAAAATATAATTCAAACATATTCGCATATGTATTATGTTAGGTGGAAAGTTATTTAGTTATTTTAGTTGGTGGAACACATAAATTTGTGTGCATCAACTTATTCGATAAGTTTGAGAGATTAAGAATGGATCGTGTAAAAGGATTAATATTTAATGTAGTCTAGGTTATAGTATATTAAAAAACAAGTCGTAAGACACCCTTGAAATGCACGAATTCAAGTTGAAAAACGAGTGGCGAAGCCACGAGTTTTTTAATGAATGAGTGCTTTAAGTCTTAGGAAACGTGTATTTTTATGCTATTTTTTGTAATTCGCGTTTTTATACTTTTTTTTGAACAAAAATAAAATAAATTTTGACAATGTAGGGAAATAGGTATGTAGCAGTTGGAACACCGTAATACTTCAAAATAGAAATTTGAATTCTCAATTAGAAACTGTCAAAACACAAAATGTATTCACCTGAAAAAAATGTGTCATGTACACCTCCCAAAATAAGAGAAATTGCTCAGTGTTCAATGTCTTCATCATTGTGGATCTTGTATTCGATACTAAGAACGTGTTTAAACATCCATAGACAAAAATTGTCACATTGACAACTAGAAAAATTAATGACCCAATGTCACCAACTTGAACTAGTTCTATAAAATGTTACTAAAATCTCATTACAGCATCGGATGCTGTAAGGAATCTCATTACAGCACCCGTTTGAGTACTGTTAGAGCTTTCATTACCGTCGCGAATTACAAAAAATTTGTTACGCACTTTAAAAAATTCTTTTGAACACTTTCTATGCTGGTTATGCAACTACGATAATGCAAATTTCAAATAATACTTCAAAAATGTAGGACACTATGAATCTATGCAAAGAATAACAGTGAATATGAACATCACGTTAATGATTTTGAAATTTCCTGTGGATTATATACGCCAAAATCTAACAATCGCCCTGCCTTGCAAATCGCTCCATCACCGTACCGTGACCATGCAAGGTTATTAATAAAGGTCTCTTATTTTAGATGTTCTAGGTGGAATATAACGTTAAAGATAGCATCTAATGATATCCAATCTTCTCATAAAAGATATATTGTTATACAGGTGCTCTAAAATTTATGGATTAAGGAAAGTTTGGAGAATTAACGAGTTTCTATCCATTTATTATAATCTTTATGCGGTGCTTCTAATAAAGGCGACGGAACAGTACAGTGAAGGAAATATTTGTGTCAATGTAGCTTCCAGAAAAAGGTATTGCGGCAGAAAGCGAACGAATTACTCGGAGAATTTGGATGAAATCAAAGAAACTTCACTTAATCGCCGTGGCACTATTCGTTTGCAATTAACATTCCAAAATCGACCGTTTTTGCATTTTCAAATATGGACGACACTTTAAAAGAATATCCTCAACGGTGAAACCACTACTAACGGGCTGTAACAAAAGAACGAGACTAGAGTTCTGTTTATCGAAGGTTAAATCAAATCGATATGTACGACTACGTACATATAGACGCAAAGTGGTTTTATTTATTGCAAGATAAAAGGTACTATAAAAGCAAAAGGTTTGTAACTAAAGTTATGTTTATGGCTGCAGTGGCCAGACAGCTATGACAGAAAACAGATTTTCAACGGCAAAATAGGACTCTGGATTTTGTATATAAAGAATCTGCAAAAAGAAACAGCAAGAACCTGGCAAGAGGAACAATGGTGACCAAAAAGATCGAGTCTATTAACGGAGCAGAATGCAAAAAGATGATTATCGATAACGTTTTACCAGCCATTAGATCCAAATTCCCTAAAGCGCATAAAGCCAAGACAATTTATGTTCAACAAGATAATGCAAAATCGCATTCTTATGAAAACGATGCAGAATTGCTGGCCGAAGATTGCTGGCCGATGGATGGTATATTAAATTCAAATTACAGCCACCGAATAGTCCTGATTTGAATGTTTTAGACCTTAGCTTCTTCAATGCTGTTCAGTCTTTGCAGCACCAAACATTGCCAAAAAAACTATGGATGAATTAATAGATTGTGTTAAAAGTGCTTTCGATGCATATATCTAAAGCAAAAATAGATAACGTATTCTTGTCACTATAAAAGTGCATGGAGTCAACCATGATGACCTCACGAGACTACAACTATTTCTATTATGTGCAACCAAACTGCCATTGAAACAGCTGAATTGTGTTTAAATGTGTAAAATTTGCATTAATGTATGTTTAAATTAAGTTACAAATTGAATTACTAATTTTACAAATACAATAAAACAGTTTTCAAAGTTTTGTATACCATAATTTGGGACAAATTGTAAAGAGAAATGTAGCATAATTTGGGACAGAGGAGTACTATTTTCCGTAAAAACCGCTTCTGCTGTCAAACCCACTATTTTAGTATATTTTCAATTACGGCTTTTAGAACCTTAATCGTCACCGGATGATGCCAAACATCCGACCTTGAAGACTCCCCACATATCGAATTCTTGTAAAACCCTGTTGAAATCTATCGTAAAAGCATCAAGTTGACTTGTATCAACTTTAATTACTGTATGATAACTTTACTTGGCAAAGGGACGTCTTCAACCTTAAGTTAATAAAACCTAAGAACATCCCTATCGAAGCCAGGCATGTTATATAAGTTTTGCTTTCAAGCGCAATTTTTGTAGACATGCTTGTGCTCTCAACACAGAAACAGTAATCAACACAATTTCAAACTACAAATGAAGGATCTCCATTAGAGCTCTTGAATATATGTGTAGATTATATACATTAAAAAACCTATAATTGGCAAAGTAAAGCTTAAATTGTTCTTTTCTGTTTATTTTGAAGAATTAACTTGGAAAACTTTGAAAAAATCTTTTTCAACTATTTTAAATGTTTTTTATGTTAGGGATAATCGTTTAACACATTAAGTGAGTGCATGGTAGTTTAAAGATTTAGAGGCACAATTAAAAAATATGCATAAATATTGACAAAATATTTAAATAATATTAATATTTAATTAAAAATTGTCTAAATTTTTATAACTAATCCTAATCTCAAAATTATACTTTTATTTAGCTCTGAAATGAAAACTTCTACATGAATTTTTTATTCTGCATATAACTTTTGAAACACCATGTATTATTTTATTAAATTACCTGCAGTATTATAGACGTTATGATCAATCCCAACATCAAGTGATAAAACTCATGTTGTTCTCCAACTTGAAGGATGTATTTCAATTGGGATGCGTTTGCCGTTAATAGGGCTACATCGAGAAGTCCTTGGGCTATGGTCTTCTTAGTAGCGTAACTGTTCGCATCTAGTTTTTTCTGTAAACAAAAAACGTAATGAATTTTAAATATCCATAGAGTTAATAAAATAAGGGTTTAACAAAAATAAGATTCAAGAAATTTTCTTACAAAGAAATTCCAAATTGAATTCATTGTAGAGTGAAAATGATGTCCGTTTGAAATCAAGGTCTGCTTTGTAGTGAATTACTTCGAAGTGAACTATTATTAGTGCTTTGTTCGTTACTAATAGATTGTAAAGTGCTTTTGATTATCGGATTTGATATTGCGTTATTGTTTAATGTAGATAGTATTTTTAACACAACTACAAAAAATTATACAAATCGTTTGGGTGAGATTAAAATTATAATTGGATTTAATATTTAAAATGATAAAATTAATTTTAAATTGTTTATGAGACATTTCTTTAACCCATTTAACTTTAATTTAAATTAATAATTTATAATTATTTATAATAATTATATTATATTAATAAGGGATGTTAATAATGTTATGCACACAAAGAATTAATAATCCAGTCAAATCTTGGAAAACGTTAACCTTTGATTATATAGGGACGTTGCAAGGTTAGTTCTCTATAAATATCGATTTACAGCTAATCCACAAAGTAAAAAACCTAGAAAAATTCGAAGACGATTTTACGAGATGTGATTAACAGAAAAGTGGAAATAAATTCCATATCATCAGAGAGATAGGAATCGTACATAGCGACCCTACATGAGATATACATACTATGATAGTATTTGGTGACATGTCGATAGAGTACAACAAACTTGCATCTCTGCTTAGTAGAGCTTAAAAAGGCTTTTGACAGAGTAAAACTTCCTGATGTAGAACACGACACGAATTATAACAAATAATGAAGTTACGAGGGAAGTACCTGTACTGACAGGAATCCGCCAGGGAAACAACCTATAAGAGCTGGACTCTCTTTAATATTGTAATGGACAACATCATATATCACATTAAAATGGTGGAAGGAGATTACAGAATGGACGATAAAGCAATAACAATTCTGTGGTACGCTAACGATGCCACACTAATGGTAGATATTGAAAATGATCTACAATTATCGTTATATAAATTTCAAATAACGTCTGAAAAAATTGGCATGTCGATATCTGTAAGCAAAACAGAATCACTGACAATAATGAAGGATCCCATTAGATTGAAATTGATAGTATATGATAAACCAATCACACAAAATATGAATGGCACCTATTTGGAAATCCGTACGCAAGCAAAAAAAAGGGAATGTGAGGCTACTTAAAAGACATCATCTCATGAAATAAATACTTCAACAGAAGATAAAGTTCGAATCTACACATTAATTATGAGACCGGTTCTAACATACGCAGCGGAAACTCAGCCAGAGACTTCTAAAACGAAAAGTATGATTAAAAGTGTAGAAATGAAAGCATTGCGATCTATTAGAGGAGTAACGTTAAGTGACCAGACACGAGAAGAACTAGATATCCAGGATGTTATTAGATTCACAAGGTCAAGATACTGGAGAGGCCATATCGGTAGAGAATGAAGGATGGGTGAAGTGAATAATGGAAGAAAAACCTACACTAATCCTCGCCTTAATCGCCTTAATCATTTCTAACAAAAAAAACAAAACCTTTTCTTAATAAAAGAAGAAGTAGTTTTTATAATTTATAATGATTACTTCACTAACATTAACTACAAGTAAAATCTGATGTTATTAAATTCACAAGATTAAGACGAAGGAAAAATATTATTCTTTTATGATCCTTGAGGAAAGCTATTTTCAAAAAAATCATCAAAGTCTAATACACAAACTGAATAAGTTATAATATTGCTACAATATTATTATTATCAGGATAGAGCAGCTGAAGATGTTTATTTAAATAATTTTTTTAATTTATAAAATAAATTAAATAACCATGTGATGATTTAATTGAGATCGATCTTTTATGCAAAATCTTAAATAAATATTCTAATTTCAATTTGATTTTTAGAGGTATTCTTCTATAACAATTTTTTAATTTATAAAATAAATTAAATAACCATGTGTTTTTCTCAATAAAAAGGACAGTAATAAAGTTGGTTGTCAAATGTGTTCTGTATAAATTTTATTTCAAAATAAACATGACAAATCCCTTTAATCACGTTTCTTTATATAAAAAATATGCTACTACTTATATTATAACCAGTTGTTTATAGATAAGAAGGTTATTGACTTCAATAAAAAATTATAGAAAAATATTTACTTTTAGATATTTCTCTTTATATTAAAAAAAATCTCACCAATATCTCAGAAGCTACATTTCCATCAGAACCAGTAATATCCTCACCAACATCACCACCTTCTAAATCTTTCCTAACCGATTCCGTTGTTTTATTCATCCTCGTTACAATTTAAAATTACTTTTCAAAATTTTACGAAGTTTTGTTGTAATAAATATTTCTTTAAAACTGTTGACGAAAACACTACAAATATCACTTTAACGATAAACTAACGATTGTAATCGTTCAACCGTATGACTTTACTGTATGGTACCACACCACTTTACTAATAAACGGTTTCCTCTTTTATTATATCTCAATTACAAAACAAAGGCCACGATTTCTAATTGAATACTATACGGAGAAATGATAACTTTATAATATTAAATTGCATTAAACTGTGAAATCGGTGCAACGCGTCGGATAAATTGCAAAACATTTTTTTTGTACTAATCTTTTATCTTGGATTGTTATCAACTTTTTAAGTTTATATTGATAGGTATTGGATATATAAGTGATCTGATCAAATCTATAATATCAGTATTTGAAATGTTTTTTAACGTGGTTAATAAGTCACCTATTTACTGATGTATTCGTTTTTGAATCAAAAATCACTTTTCCTTTCGTTTTTTTTTTGTGGTACCCATTGTTTAAATAATGATACCTATATTTGTTTTATTACAAAATAATGTAGAAAGTTCTCTCTTCACGGTTGCTTTATTAAACATTAAACGCAACGGCGTGTCCCTTGTGTTGCAACCATTGATAATAATTAAAATAAAATCGAACAAAAGCGTCCTAAGATATCTATTATCAATATTGTAAAAAAATAAACTTTCATAAAATCTCATTGTTATTTTACTTACGTTTGTTGATATTACATTGTTGGGAACGATAACCGCCGACATAGTCGAATCGATATTTTTCCAAGGAAACACTTTTACTTCAATTTAATTTCACACAAATTTACAAATAATAAAAGGTAAAAATAATTAAAATAATTGATTTGCAAAGATCAATTTTAGCGCTCCAAACCGTACATTTTTTCGTGAGCAACCAAGCAGTTTTAAAGCCGTTTCACCTGCTTCAACTCGTTTTGTTTGTATCTGTATCGATCAAATAAGTAGCTAAAGAATAACAAAGGATGACGTATCCACTGTTCTTTAAAATATTAAAGGGGGTGCTTAACCCGTTATTTGTCTATAAATTTCATATGAATTTAAATTTCAAATGAATTGAACTTTCCATAATTTAAATTTGAATTCAAGGTTTAATTTACAATAAAAAAATAAATGTTAAAATAAAAGATAAGTATTAAAAATATAGCATTGACACAAAATAAAGCTTATTATTCATTACTTTTAACGAGGTCATCTTCTTATTGTTAGCACAATATCCGCAGATTTACGATTGTCTTCTTCTTTCTAATTATTTACAACTTGCTTAGAAATCTCGAAAAACGGTTTTACGAAATCCTTAAAGACAAAAAAAATGTCACGGTAAAACAATAATAAGCTACGGTCGTGTCTCAATTCAATGCCAGTTTTGGTATAAAAACGAGATGAAATCGACGGAAAGTTCTTAATCCGACGCAATGTTCACGAAAGCTTTGTTCGTTGTGCTTTTTACCGGAGCTCTTTTTGCTTTTGTCAATTGTCAATCGTTGGGGTTTATTGAAAAACAATTATTATGTGCTTTGGATAGATCTCCTTGTGATAGAATGGGAAATCAAATTAAAGGTAAATAAAAAATTCTTGATTTAAAATAATTATTTAAATATATCTTTTCTTGACAGCTATTTTACCGGAAATTATTGGAAATAAATGCAGAAATTGTTCTCCTACTCAACTTACTTATGCTACGAACATCGCTGGATTTATTCAACAACGATATCCTCAAGCTTGGGGAGCTTTATTGCAAAAATATTCATAAATACTTTTAAATTATTATTATTAAATGTATTATAATGTATTTAACTTTGGTAAGATTGGTTAATTAGTTATTTTAGTTTAGTGTTTTTATGGTTAAATATAAAATAATAAAAAACATTTGTTTTCATTTTCTCTTTAACTTCATTAATCGAAACTATCTATTATATTCTTAACCTTTTAATGAGTCAAAATGATCAAAAACATATTGGAAAACAAGCTTTTAGTCAAAATTTACGATTTTATGGTAAATATTTAAACACGGAATGACGCAAAGAGAAATGTCAAACTAAGCACACATTATTCTTTCTTTGCGAACTTTTTGATTGTTTTTATTCTTCTTTTTGAGCAGAGTAAATTGTCGTGTTGAATTTTCTTTCTTTGCTGTTGGTGGCACAAATGCCATGTCTTGCTGATCTCAATCTAATTTGATTTCTTGAATTGCTGGTATTTTTATATCTTTCCATGGAGAGTTCGATCACTCAATTCAGCTGAAAGTGAAGTGAATCCAGATTTATTGTAAAGCACGACAACGTTCCATGTTATCAGATCTAAGGATAAAAAAACTTTTTATAACATTTTTTTGCTTCTTCTTCTAAGTACACAATAGGAAGACAAAAAAAAAACAACGAGCTAATAGTAGAGCAGTTCCATCAAGTGTTCCAAACTATTTATGACGCCAAACCAAGTAGAGAGTGATTGCATACATTATTATTGTGGGGGATGATAATGCTCAATTCGGAAAGAAGGATATACATCAAAATGCGATTGGTAAATCAAGGCTCTACAATAAAACCAATGTCTATGGTATGAGAGTATATGGCTCGTCAGCCATATATCTATCGAAATAAATCGTCAGCACCCGTTTTCAAGGGCACATGAAAAATCCCAGGTAGGGATGAATATAACCAAATCGATGACGTCTTAATATCTAATAGGCTGCTTCTGTAAACAATGTGGGAACCTATCGAGGTGTTAACTGTGACTCTGACCTCTTCCTCGTGAATTTAAAATTCATACACAGGCTCTCTACAAGAAATAAAAGAAGTTTAGAACAAACAAAAAAAAATGTAAGATCATTGATGATGACGAAAGGAAAGATTTTAGATAATGAGTGGAGGAGTTTTTACAACAGAAGTAACAAGAAGATAGAATATAAGAAGAATGAGACACACTAAGAGACACAGTGAATTCAGCTGCTCAATATATTATGATTCACCATAAAAACTCACGAAACCAATGGCAATAATGATGAGTATGAAGAATGTCGAAGAGGCTGACAAAACCTATAGAAAAATGGAAAATAGGCCAAATAACTGAACAAAATAACTTACCAAATAACCAAATAACTTACAAACAAGTAGAAAATTTTGTAAGGCAACTAAAGAACAATAAAATTTTTACTCACGTTTAAGTATCTGCCAAAGGGAATGCTTTATTTCTTTCCTTTCTATGGCACTATAAACTAAATTACTCCTTGGCTTCCGTTATCATTTGCCTCCATTTCCCTTTGTCTGGTGCAGCTATTACTGGTGTGAAGTTATCCATAAATCCCAGCCATAAACTTAAAACATTAACAACTTCGTAACCAATACGATTTGGGTCACCAAATTTCACACACAGGTCACTCTTACCATGAAGAACAGCTTACAACTCCCATTAAAAAAATTGTTGTGAGATTCCATACGTATATAGCGCGGCGCGGACTTTGGGGGTGAATTTGACCCCGATGGGCACTACTGAAATTGATGAACTTTTAGAATGATTTAGAGGGTGCCTTCAGGGATTTAAATCAGCCGTCAAAACACCGTAACTCTTAACGGTTTTCGAGAAAAAAAAATTGTTGTTATATTCTATACCTACACTTGTGAATTTGATGAAACTTTAGGATGATTTGGAGGGTGGGTTTTTGATTTAGAAAGAAATTGATTATATCATTTGTCTGTATTGCATATAACAAAATTATGTAACGAATGGAGAATACTATAGTTACTTGCTACCGCGTTCCACACCGTTTCCAACCCTTGCTCATTTAAGTGAATGCCGTCCTTGTGTAGAAATTTGTATTAAATACATAAAAAACGTTACGTTCACAGATTCGAAGTTTTTGCAGGGAGGAATTGTACATATTTGTATTCCTTTAGGATTTAAGGAAAGAAGGAAGCGGAAGAGGTGAGAATATTATGACCTTAGTTGGAACAGTGATGTTTTGTGGAGTATATCGTTAGTCCTTATCATTATAAAGATATGTCGTTCAACAATATCTTCACAATACAAAGGGGAACATGTTTTTGGAATAGACTTTGCGCACCGCAATAATTTTAATATTGCTTGACCGCCTGCTGCTAAGTTGATGAAATATTTTCCGTTGCTTTTCCGTTTTGATCACAAAAGATGAGAACAACATTTTTATTGGCTATTTCGTGGCAGACGACGCCGATTTGGGAAAACCTATTATGAAAAATGCTGTGAGCAAAAATGCCTATCTTCAAGTAAAGTCTTTGATACATTTTCGGAATAATGCCAAATCTAATGAAAGTAAGGGCGATAAATCGTTTAAGATTAGACCGTTGTTAGATATAGTAAATGCAAGTTTTCAAAATTTTAGTATTTCTTAAGAAAATCTGTCCATAAATGAAATGATTGTAAGCTCTTACGATCACCACTCACCACTTACTGAAACAGTTTATGAACGGTAAGCCAATACGATTTGGTTACAAACTCTGGGCACTTTGTGGCGAAGGTCAATATTGCTATTTCTTTTGCTAACTAATTGCTATAGTCCAAAAAGCTGTTGCTTATATTTTGATAATTTTTTTAGCAATCATGCCTTATTTCGTCAATTAAAAGAAATGCAAGTACGTGTAACAGGTAATAGGAAAACGCAGAATGCCTGTTGCGACCAACCAAAAAGACCTAGAAAGTTAGCTCCAGAATCCTATAATCAAAGATTTGATAGCGAAAACTAAATATTGCTGGTAAAATGGAATGATAAGAAATATATTTGTATGGCCACAAATTTTGATACTACAAAACCAGTAGCATCAGTTGCAAGATAGAGCAGAGTACAAATATTAAAAGTGTAAGTTGCTCAGCCAAGACTGATTCACCATTATAATCCATACATGGGTGGGGTAGACCATCATGATTGGCTCCTAGAAAAACATTCTATAGCAATAAGGGGTAAGAAATGGTACTGGTGCATATTCACAAGGTTAATTGATACGGGGTTATATAAGGTTATATAAGATAATTCACAGGGTTACAGTATTTTGATGGTCGATTTAGATCGCTAAAAGCATCTTCTAAATCATCCTAAAATTTCATCAATTTCAGAAGTGCCCATCGGGGTCAAACTCACGCCCAAAATCTGCGCCGCGCTATATACGTATGAAATCTAACAACAAATTTTTTTTCTCGAAAACCGTTAAGGGTTACGGTGTTTTGATGGTCGATTTAGATCGCTAAAGGCATCTTGTAAATCATCCTAAAATGTCATCAATTTCAGAAATGCCCCAATTTCAGAAATGAATCGGGGTCAAATTCACCCCTAAAGTCCCATCTGCGGTTTATAAGAATAATTTTTTTTCTCGAAAACCGTTAGAGGTTACGGTGTTTTGAAAATTGATAAAAATACTTATTATGTGGTAGAATTTGGCTTAATTCGAAGGTGCCCATCAGGGCGAAAACATCACTTTTTCGACGGTGGGGGTTGAAAAATTTTTTTTTTACCAAATGGGTAAGAAAGATAAGAGGTAAGGTAAGAGTGACGTGTGTGTGAAATTTGGTGTCCCAAATCGTATTGGTTACGGAGTTATTCATATTTTAAGTTTATGGCTGGGATTTATGCATAACTTCACACCAGTCAGGTATTGGCCATACACTCACCCTCAATAGCGTCTGATACTTTATCATTCCAGCATTTTTGTGATCTGCCCACCGCTCTTTTGTCATGCATTTTATCCCGTCTTCAATCTTGATAACATGTCCTGTCCATTGCAACCTTTGAGGTTTCATGAACTCTACGAGTGGGTTTTTCCGAGTAGTTAGTACAATTTGGTGTTGTATTCTTCTTAATACTTTCCTCTAAACTATGCCTAGTTTATTTTTGTTTATGTTATCTGTCGTTTTCTATCCGTATAATAGGTCTTATAGTTGTAATACATAATTATTTCAATATACTTTAAGTTTTGTTACGATGGTCGATTTTTGAAATTACTATGTGAGATAGAGCAAAGTGTTTTGTCTGTGTTAATATCTTTGTTTTTTTGTGTATTAATGTTTGATCCGATCCCTGTGACACGACTCTTGAAGTTTTGGACAAATGGGCCATTTTTCTTTAACCTAAAAGAAAGTTAGGTTGGTGATCTAACGCTATCTGAACTTCATTGGTAGCATCTTCAATGTTGCTACCCACTGCAAGTAGTGTAGTCTCACCTTCAAAGGTAGGAACCAACGTTTCAGATGATTGGCGTTGATTTCTCATGAACAATAGGTGTAGGACCATTCCTAAGACACTGCTTTGGGGAATAGCGGCGTTGATTTCCTTAATTTTGGAATATCCATTTTCAACTTTAACTCTGAAATTTCTATTTTTAATATAATCACTCACAACTCAGAGCTTCAATAACGTTAGTGATTTTATTATATGCTTATTTCCAAAACCAAATTGGTGTGCTGGTATCGCTCTATTTGCTTCTAGTACTGGTGTTCAATGATTCAGAAATGATTTTTCAAAAAGTTTTGATATGCTCTGAGATAATGAGATGATTGGTCTATAGCAGTTGGTCTCGTTTGGATGTTGTCCTAGTTTGGTAACATAATTATCTCCATAATCTTCCAGAATGTTGGGATAGCTTCTTTATCAAGCAAACTTTATCTGCAACTATGTTTTGTTCTTTGACAGAGTCAGTTTTCTGTATTGCTCACTCTGTCCTACGTTAACTGCATCTGATGTTGCAACTCTCCGAGTTCTTGCTGCATATGTTGAAGATTTAATTTGATATAATTTTACATCAATTTTATATAGTTCCTTAATTGACAGAGAGGATAGGGAAATTAAACTCTTTTTCCTGGTTTGCTTA